CTGGCGAATGCATTTTCTGTCGCATTTCCTGCCACAGCGTGCAGCATAAAATAACGGCAAAGCAACATAAACACGTGCCAGGGCCCCCTCGTCTAATGTCGGCCATTTCCTGCTGGCCAAAAACTGTAGGCCAAAACACAGCCGGATCGGAAGAAGGAGAGAGCGGAAAAGAGCGGAATGCATAAAAGCAAGCGTCACCAACAGCAACAGCAGCAGCAGCCGTAAAAGAAGCGTCGCACTGCCGTATAGCCGTAGAGCTTGATGCCTTTGTCGGGGAGAGGCAGAGCTCTGGTCAGGAGAGGGTCCCAAGAGGAACTCTTTACCAGACAGCTTCCCCCCCACTCTAACACTCTCAGCCACTGCTGGGCGAGTGAAGAACGGCAGGAAACCTCAAAAAGAGATGGAGCGCAAGAGCATGCAGCAGTGGAGCAGAGTCGTCTGGGGAATACCCTTCGAAAACTTTAGACACAATACAAAGTGGGTAAGGTATGGGCCGGGTTAAGGGTGCAGCTAAAGGTGAATCCATCAGAATTTGTAATGTCAAGAAATGGAGAGTAGTTGCCCAAAAATAAACCTTTATTCGACCACCATTATGAACAACCAATTCCTCTTCCTAGGAGCGTCTTGAGATGTAGTCTTATGCATACATTAAAAAAAGATTGCTAAGATATATCCTGCAACTAATGGTGTTCCTAAACGGAATTCAAACACAAAAGACGGACATAGCAAATAAAGTAAAAAAAAATTCAGAAAATAGAAGCAGATACCAACAAAAAATATAAGAACCGGAGGAATCTAAGAAAAACTTACTAAAAACATAAACAAATAGTAGTACAAGAGGCAACAACAGGCACAGCCACACTTCGATGCAGAGGGAAAAGAATGTGAAGGCAACCTAGAAGAAAGAGCGCGAGAAGCAGTAAACCAACAACAGTAAGAAAGACCCAAAGAAACCCGTGAGCGGGCAGGAGCGGAAGAGTGTGAGAAATATGTTAATAAAGTGCCACATCTAGCGGGAGGTGGTGGGGGACGGGTCCAGGCCTAAGCCGTAACACGATAAACGCTGGATGAATGACCTCTCTCTCTCTCACTCACTCACTCACTCACTCACTCTTGGTGTGGCTCTCCCTCTTTGCCTTTCGAAAACAGATGCGGCTCGCTCTGCTGCTGCTGCTGCTCCTTCAGCTAAGAATATTCTGCAGCTGCAAAGAAAATACAGTTCTTTTTTTTTTCAAAGCCAGTGCCTGGCGCCATCCTTCTTCTACTCCTCCTAATAGGCCAACAAAAATCTCTGTTGGTATAATGATGCCACTGACAACTGCAACTGCAACCCGCTAGCGGCAGAGCGTAGACTGCATTCTGTGTTCTTTGCTCTGCTTGAGTCTGCTCTCTGTGTTTTGATACCCATGCAGACATGGGTATAATGGAGGATTAGCAGACCAATAACTTTTTTGGATATTTTACCTTGAAAAATAAAATTCTGTTAAATTGTTTTCATTATTGCTGCACCGTCGTAACATGGTATTAATGTTGCAGGGTATCAAAAACTCGATAGCTTGGGCCAAGCCTCCCTATTTTTGTTAGTTATGCATTCTGCATCTTCTTCTTCTTCTCCCCTTTTGTTTGTTTCTGTGTGTGTGTGTGGGTCTGCATTTCTTCTTTGGAGTTCATTGCCGCGACTCATTTGTATTCTTTCTCCCGCTCGCGCTTGCACTCTGCTATACCCGTCCTGCTCTCGCTTGCACATTCATCTCCTGCTGTGTCTCTTCCTCTCTTGCACTTGCACTTGCCTTCGTTTTCCCATTCAACATAATCATCATCATCATCATCATTATGATGAGCCCTGTCTTCTTCCCACTTGACTTACCATTCAGTCGGTGTTCATTAGCTTTGTCTGCTGCTCTGTTCTCCTCTCCACCTCTCAAGATGTTTCTACCCCTCACCGCTTGACACACTCCCCTGCCCGATCATAATTGAATTATCCCCCAGAGGGAGAGGGGTGAAAACAGTGGTGCAGTGGGAGCAGTAGTAACAGATTTTTGACAGAGAAGAGGAAGTGGTTGTGGCTTTTGTGGGCCATATAACCAAACTTGGTTATTACCTTGTACGGGGCAGACATTTGGAGTCACAGCTTGAAAGATGGGAGTGTCTTGAAGGTTGTGGAGATGAGTGAAGATGGATTGTGGTTAAAACTAGGTGGAACATCCACACATAGTCGCAACATTAGTTGCAGCCAAAGAAACTCCACTCCACTGTAATTCATAGCTTAAACGTTCCACTGCCATTAATGCATTCTTCACCGTCTAGGCGTGGAAGGAAGTTTCTTCTTACATATATGCATTAAAAACTAAGCTCAAATATTACTTCCCCAATTACACGTATTTCTTCAGTAATTACTATATCAGCCAGTGTGGCTCTCTGATAGGCTGGCTGGTATTCTGGCACCCAGTTTCCTAGAAATCATAATTTGCACGCTTTCTTCTCAAAGCCCAGACACGAGGAGCCTCTCCCGCTCCCGCTCCCGCTCCCTTACCTCCTCTCTTTCACTCATGCCTTAGCACATATTCGAAATATTTTCGAGTTCACGATCAAGATCAACGAAAGAGAATCATAAAGAACGAATGAGAGAGTCAGAAGAGAAGAAACAAAGTCATTGAGGCAGCTAATGAAGCCAACAAAGAAGATGCTTCAGCGAGAAGAGTGGCCCGTAAAGTACCGAACACATGGTACATGGGGTGGAGGAAGGGAAAAGAAGGTGCCCACAGCATCTGCCTCTCAGTCTCTGGTTTCCCTCCGCACCTTGCCCCATTTTGACTTTCATTTCTTCATACAGTTAGACACTTTTATTGTGTTTCACATTACTTTTGTGTGTGCGCTTTGGTTTATTCTCTCTCCCACTTTTTGTTTGTGTTTTGGTTTATTTGGACTTTTCCTGAATTTCTATTTCCAGCATAGATAACAATTTCTATAAGTAAAGTGCGATATTTTACGAGACCCGACGCAACGGGAGAGACGTGGCTAAGAGATGGCAGCAAGGATGGTAGTCGGAGACGTTTACTGGAGCCGGGGATTCGACTTGACTCCAACAATACGGAGCGCATTATTTGTGCCCTTTTGTGGCATTGTTTTTCTTTTTCGAATTTCGTTTTTCTTTCGTGTTTTTCTCTCTGTCCCTCGCCTATCTCTAGCTCTTATTTTGCGTATTTTTGGCATTCCTTCTGACGTTTTGGCAACTTTTCCGGGTTAACTTTAGTTGATACTTGGGGAAGTTCCTACAGAAGAGTTTTCCAGAGGCTTACTCGAGCAGGGTGTACGGCTAAAGAGGTTACAATAAACATTAAATATTATTCTATTTGCTTTCAAAGATACCATAGACATGTGGTTGAAATAGTGAACTACTAGACTTAAAAGGCAAGTCAAAAGTACCGCATAAGTATAGTAATGCCGGGGAATTTGTATTCCTTTTAGTAAAATGAAATTTCTATACCTTAGGGTATAAGCGTGCCCTTAGATGTTATTTAATATTCTTCTTTAGTAGAATAAAACATTATGCACTCCCTTTAACCTCTGACTGCGCCACTGCTTAATAGTTCCTTGTGTTTGTGTGTTTCGGAATATTTGCAGTTTCCAACAAAAGCAAATATAAATTGCAATAGATTAAAGTTAAAGTCGTGACTGGGGCCCACGCAGAAGTTGCGAAACAAAAGCGGGAAAATGGAAGCCACCGTCAAGAAGGGAATCTGAATCAAATTTGGTCTCAAATTACTCAAAGGGAAATTTCAATTGAGATAATAGAACCAGATTTGCCATGAAATTAATGAATATGGGTGCACAGTGAGTGCTCTCAAAATGCTGCACAAAGATTTTTACTAATGGGTGGAAAAAGGTTCTACAATTTCATGAGACGCCCATTAAATTGGCATTTTTTTAGTCGAATTTTGAGGATTAATGTAGGATATGTTTAAGAGTTTTCAAGCTGAATTTAAAACGGAAGAAAAACTTCGTCAAATCAGTCATTAACAGTTCATATTATTTATCCACCTCTTAGAAATCGTTTCCAATTATCTAAGTAGAGTTTCGTAAAGATTTCCGAGCTATGTATAAAGCTGTGGATTTTTTTATTCAATAAACATTTCCAATGATTCTTTTTGTGTCTGTAATTTCCACGACAAAACCAAACCAAACTCAATTTCCATCGAGTTGAAAAACCTTTTTGATATTAAATTAAGCTCTTAACACTGCAGGGGAAAGCCGAAACAATGTGCCACGCTGGGTGTTTCTTTTTCCCGCTTTTTCACACAGACTGACAGACACAACAGAGACACTGACAAAACCCCAAACCCGAGACCATTTCCGCTCGGAGATTTCGGGCTGCCACCACCGAACGAACAGAGGAACTCAATTGGGCAACCCTCTCGCACCGGGCAGACACTTGTGCATATTAATTGCTTATTGAGCAGAATTCTCCCTGGCACATACAATGCGGGAGGTAGGGGGGGAAAATGGAAGGAAAACAACAAGGAACATGAAAGAACAAAGTTTTTTCGACATTCCGAATAACGATACCCAGTAGTTGGATATCTGGAGGTGATTTGAATATTCCTCTAAGAAACAACTAAAATTGTATACATACGTATGTATGTAATTTATCTACTAATAGAAATATTGTATATATATTGTATTTTTTCTTTAGTGGATTAAAATTAAGTCTTATTGATAGGTCTACACTATTTTATCATTATTATTCTGATATAATCCAAATACCATCCAATAACTCAAGATACTCTTCTTCAATATGTTGACAGGGTATACAGAATTGTTTGGGAAATCCTCAGGCACAGCCAAAGCCTTTTTTTTATTATTCTTTATCAGTTTCAATCACTCAATTGCGCCCCGCACCACTTCTCTGGCTCTGGCTTCCATTCATTCAGGCACTCACTCAGCGCACTCACTCTCTCTCCCACACACTCATTCATTCATGCAGGGTCTCCTTTTCTCACCTGTTTGTTTTGTTGTTGTTTCTTGTCACTAGCCTCGGTTTGGCCTCTCTTTGTACACCTCCTGCTGCTGCAGCCACACTCTCTGTCTCTCTGTTCCTCTCACGTGTCGAAACAAGCGTTTTCCGGCCTGAGTTTTTCGTTTTCCAGAGGGGCGCGTGGTCGAGGTTCGGTTTGGGAGTTCGTTCGGTGGTAGCCCCTTTGTTGCAGCCACTTGTGCGGCTCTCTCTTTCTTCCACTCTTTTTTTTGGGGGGACCCTTTACGGGTTGACAAAATGCCAAACGCTTGAAAATTCTTTTAGTCCTCCTCCTTTTTTATAGTGGTTTTTATTTTATTTTTGGGAATTTCTAGTGGTTTTTTTTATGTGTGTGTTTGAAGGAATATTTTTGGTCGTTTTGTAGGCTACTTTTTTATGAGATAAACATATTTTTAACTTTTTTATTTTTTTGTTAGTCGTTTTTTAATGATTGGCTTTCAGTTTCCGCGCGTATCTTGAATTTGGTTTTGGTTTTTATTCTGTTTGATAAAAAATTTTTGTTTTTATTGTTGCTGTTCTCGTTAACCTTTTCCGCCGTTCTCCCGTGCACGTGTTTGATTTTTCATTTTCTTTCCTCTTTCAGCTGTTTTTTATGACAACCTGTTTGCCTGTTTGCTGGAATGTTTTCGTGTGGTCTTCCCCCAAACGAACCGAGAATAAATGAATGAAAACTGGGCCTGGAATGCCACGAATAATAATTATGATTGCCAGTCGTCCAGCGATAAATGTGAAATGTTGTCTGTTCGAGGCACATGTTTTTATTACGAATTCAAAGACTTTTTTGCGAGGGAAATTCTTGTTTTGGATTTGGCATTTCATTTGATTATTTTTCGGGGGAATATTTCAGAAAGGGTTGGAATTTCACTTCACGTATTTATTTACGAAAAAAATCGTTTTTTATTTAGCCATTTATTTCATTGAAAAATACTCGTATCACATGTTACCATATGAATAGCAATTCAATCCATTTATTTATTTATTTGGTTGTGCCAATATTTATTTGATTTCTACTCGTTTATTTATCTATTCAATTTTCTCCTCACAACATTGTAAGCAACAAAAACAGACGACTATAAAATCAGATTCCAGAACCCAATCAATTAACGGGTGTTTCGGTTGCGCTACAAGAAGTCGGTCAATCTATAATGTCTGGCTACATACATTTGATGTACATACATACATATGTATGTATGTAGGCCTTCAATATGTTTTGTCTGTTTGTCTGCAGACAGTTTTCGAGCCAAGTTTTCTTTAAATTTAATTAAGCCTTTTTCTGCTTTGATTCTACTGCTTTTTTTTTATTTTTTTTTTAAGATCAGACCCCAAGCGCACTGCCTCCCAAAGATGGGGTGAACGAAAGACGGAGACTGGAGACTGGGGACTGGGTCTGGGACCTGCCAAGTGGCTTTCTAAACACAGAGATGCACGCTTCGTTGGCGCTGCCCACTCGAGAACATAGTAGTAATAAAAATGGGTTGTGGGGCACGAAGTTTTTGATACCCTTGGAAAACTGTCATTTCAATATCATATGGTCATGTGACTTTGATTCTCTTTGGATAAGTAATGGTTTTGTTTGTTGAATTTAATTTGAATATCTTGTGAAACAAAATAGTTAGCCATTCTATAGAGATAGTTTTATGATATTTTGTTCAGAAACTAAAACTTAGTTGTACTGATAAAAATTGGTGCTTCGCCGATCGTTCCTTTGGGCTAAAGTGGATTTTAAATGATATTTCTAAAGTGCATCGCCGATCTCCTGTCTTTATATTCTATGCTAGAATTTGTAGGCTCCAAACTAGCCCCCATCATTTCATGAAAATCATCATACCATGCCACTGCAGGGGTATCTCAAAACAGTGCTAGAACGCAGCGACGGCAGAGTGGTAGCGGCAGACCGCTAACGGTAAATCAAATGAAAAACTTCTATTGATACGGTGCTGAGAACCAGACGGAGAGGGGCGAAGAGACGGCGACCGGTGACAGAGACTGGACCGCGACTGTGACTGCGACGACGACGTCACGGCGCGCGTTTAAAATTCCTCTTGGAGCCGGAGCCGGAGCTGCTGCTGCTCTTCGAATCGAGTTGAGTTCAATCAAAGAGCATTAGATAGAACAGAACCCAAAGATGTTGTGTGTGGAACAAAAAAACAGGTTCTCAAACAGGATAGGTTGTTTTTTTTGTTTTATATTTTGTGTGTTTGATTTTCAAATAACAAAAAAAGCACATGCATAATTAACACCAACACAAATGGTCACACACAATGGTTATGATGGGGTGGGAAAAATGGCTGGGGGTTTAGGGAAACACAAATGTTTGAGGGAAAGAAACCGTACGCGGCACGCTCTTTGACTCAGAACTTACACGCTTTTCACATACTCTCTCTAACGACCTCGACTCTGCCGCTTCGTTGCGACGCGCTGAAACCCTAGCAGGTGACTGAAAGCAGCAACCAGCAGGCCGCACAGTGGAGGCACGTAGCAGCGGCAGCCAGCAGCAGGCAGTAGGCAGCGCTGTGGAGCTCTGCTTTGGAGCCGAACACCCACTGTTGGCCACTGTTAACGCCGGCAGAGCTGAGCCGAAGTCAAAGCAGCGACGCAACAGATCCGGGGCTCTGTAGCTGAGACTGAGCTGCTGTTAACTTAACAGTGGTTCGCTTTTGCATGCAACTTTTTTGGAATTGTTTTGTTTTTTTTTTTGGTAATTCGTGATTTCATTTTGTATATATGGTTTAATAACCTTTGAAAAGTGTTGGGGATCTCTAAGCATGCACACATATTTGTTGGCTCTTCATTAACTAACTAAATAAGTGAAGTGCAACAATTATCTATTCACTAGAAGGAAATGAGAGGCAAAATATTTTTGGAAATTATGAAAAGTTAAACTCATTTGATTAGGCACAAAAAGTGGAAATTTAATTGGATTTGAATTATTGAGTATTGATAGAATAAGATTTAAAATCTGTAAATATCACAGAGAGCACAGAAAATTTAAAATAGTGGAAAAATTGATTTAATTTGGAATTTTTTAATTCCTGAATAATTTCTAATGAGCCACAACATGCAACTGCACAAGAACAGAGGACCCAAATGCTGCTAACAGCGTCAGCTTACATTATCTAACATTGTCAAAATTTACAGCCTGCTATCTTAACCATTACTTTACAGTCTGCTTTCGTAAATCTTTGTGGCAGCCTACTGCTTAACAGCCACAGCTAACAGCTACAATAACAGAGTCCATGCTGCATACAAAACCCCCACCAAAATTTGGAAACGGCACCCCCATAAATCCTACATGCCACGCATCCCATAAGCCAAGAAAAAATAAAACCAAAGAACAAAACTTTAAGCACAGCTAATTATGTAAGAGCAATATATGTTGGCAGCTTTAAATAGTTGCGCGCTAAGACGTGCCCCGAAATACCTGAAATACTTTTCAGTTTCCGTTTCAGTTCGAGTTGCAGCTTAAAAGATTCTTCAGAAAAGTTGCTGCACGCTGGAGCTATGTGAATGGATTTTTTCATATGCTTAACAATTTTGATTTTCCTCTCAGAATGGTGGATTGGATTTCTCCTGTGAAAACACCACTCAACTATACTCTTTTTATAAATATTCTCTACTATAACCTGTAATTCTAGAGGCGGTAACCACAGGATACTATTTTATGCTCCTTCCCAAACGACTTGGAACTTGCTTTCCTGATTTCGGCTATTCGAAGATTAAAAAAATCCTCTTTGAGGAAGTTTGACTGTATTCCCTTGTTGAACTAAGTGAATTCTTGGTCCTGACTCTCAGTGGTGTATCCATTACTGATGCCTTGAGGCCTCAAGGCTGCAGTTGTCTTCTGGCTTTGGTAATTTTCTCGTTTTTTGTTGGGTCTCGCTTTCCGCTTTAGCAGGTGACTTGGCATATTAGCAGCGATAAAAGTCGCAGAGGCTCGACAACAAAAGGATATCCGTTTGAAAGAGCAGAGCCACTGTCAGCAGGAAGATGCGACGTGGGGGCATACAACGTGCCACCTGTGTCTGTCGCTGTCTGCGTCACGCTCAGTTAGATTACGCTGAATATTGCTGAAAAATTAGCGCATTAAAAATGGATATGACTCAAGCGATATCTTAATATGGGATACGTGACGGAGACCCACCACCCTCTTTCTCAGCCCCGGAAAGTCAACAAAATTAACGTAATGTGCCGCCATCAACCTGATTTCATATTTATTTGGGAAAAACATACAAATTGTGTAAATTGTTTGCCCAAACGTAGGACCCTCTCTGCTTCTGATTCTGCTTCGCCATCCAACATTTTCATCATCATTTTCCACCTGTTAATGCGCCATTCCATTATTTATTTACCATCTAATTCTAAAACACAAGTGCGATTTTCATTTGAATTGAATGCAATTACATAATCGTATTTATTTAGTCCAATGTTAATGGGTTTTAATGTGAATAATTTCCATAATTGATAATCGGATTTTCATACTAAAATTTAGTTGAGCACGTAAAAGTGCCTGCCCTTCAGGCTTAAGTCCATTGATAATAATATTAGGATATGCTATGAAGCCATGACGACTATTTCCAGCTCTCTAGCGTAAATCTCTTCGCGTGCTTTGGCGTGTGCTTTGCCTGTGGTGTATACGTACCGTATATGTATTCATAGGTGGTAAAATCAAAGCCATCGTTCCAGAATTAAGCTCATAAATTTTGTTTAATTTAAAATTTTATTTAAAATGTAATGTTTTTTTTTTGTGGGCTGACAGTGTAGGACTAGATTCAGGCTGATTTACAGAATCTTCTGTATTTTTAGCTTGACTTCTTTTTCATCTTGCTATGAATGTTCGTAGGGCATCCGCAATGGTTATGTCACAGAATCTTTTCCAAGCCTGCAGCTTGAAAGCTTCCCAATCAGGGCTTCTGCAGCCCCAAATCCGTAGCGCCCTTGATTTTGATTCCAGGAGTCGATAAAAACAGTAAAGCGGTAAAAAACTAGCAATCTAGCTTTCTGTTTGTTGACAGAGATTTAACGTTGGTTCGCGTTTTCTCGGATTTAATTGTCTACCCCGATAAGTGTGCTAAAATTTTTACCTGAATATAGCCAAAAATTTTATTTAAAACTATTTTTATTTCTACCATTAATCTTAATCATTGACATGTATGTTATCCATATCTATCGGATCCTTTCTTGCTTCATTAACATCTGCACACATGTAATAGATTCTCACTTTCTAATTGAGGATGGATTCCTGAACTCGACTCTACTCGACTAGAATTTGCATTTTCTTCTTGCCTCTACAAGGTTTTGCTCTTTTGTTTACTTCAGTTTGGCATTTTCCTTCAGCTTCTTTTTTATCAACAGGCTCTGTTTTTCTTGCGCTATTTGGTATTCCATTTCGATTTTTTTTCCTCTGTACTTCAGTTTTTTTGGTCTAGCCTTTTTTGAGAATTTTCTTTTCCTTTGTTTCTCTCTTTTGGTATTTTTTAGATGAATGTTTCTGCGACTCTTCATTTTCTTTCTTTTTTAAGTGTTTCTCTTCTCCATCTTCGACTTTTTGATGTCGACTAAATCGTTTTTTTTTTGCATTGGAATTTTTTCACTATTTTTTCCTCTTGCAATTCTCTCTATTTTTCTCTTTTTGTACTGCTCTTTTGGCATTTTCATTCCGGTCTAACTGGCATGTAATAAGCCTCCTTCCTTTGTCTGTCTTTCTTATTCTTGCCATTCCTCCTTCACTCTTTAACAACTTGTGCTCTTATTTTCGCACCTTCGCCTCATTGCATTTGACTTTGCTCTCTCTCTATCTCTCCCTCTGGGATGAAGGTGAATGCCCCCGCCTTCCACCCATTAATGCCAACTCATTAGACGCCGCTAACCATAATCGCCAGTCTGTGGGCCAACTCCTTGGAGGGCAACACAACCGCAACCCATTCCTTGGAGAAAAGCCCCGACAAACTCACCCACAAAACAGAGGAAAACTCCCACCAAAAAAAACAGACAAAACCAAAGAAAAACCAGTAAGGAAGGATACTATGCGGGCTCGAAGCTTTAGATACCCTGGATGATTCATCTTTTCTATAGCATAGCTTTAGGATATAGTCATGTGATTATGCTAAAACTAAGGAAATAGTTATCATTTAAATGAAGAGAATGAAATCTGTTTATAATGATAAATGTAATATTCATATAAATCTTTAAAGATCGAAAATTGTCCAGTCCTTTTTGCTCGTTGCTATCAACAATTCCACATCGTAATATTCTCTAACAAGGGTACAAAAAATAAAACCCCATACAGAAACTCATCCCAGAATTTCTTTAGACACGTAGCATCGCATAATTACAACTTAATCGGTTGACAAACAAAGCAGACGCCGCTACATAAACAGCAATAACAACAAAAGTCGTATCCTTATAGAGTGAGAGAGTGGACAGCGGGGGAGTGCGTCTGGCAGATTAACAGAGAGCAGAAAATGGGGGAGATTAAGAGACAGGGAAAGTTGGTTCAAAGTTTTAAATGCCAAGGTCCAAAGACAGTTTAAAGACTCCT